TATAGGAAATTTCAAGCATACACAAAAATGAAGCAAGTATCACAAAGTCCCATGTCACCTAACACGCAAAAGGTTCCCGTGTTGAAACCGGGCAGTAACAGCTTTTTCCGTTTTTTTCTTCATTACTTCATATTTATGACACTGGGGACTAGAACATCCTGCCGCCATCTCCACCTGGTTACAGAGGTGCGTGGAGGAAGGACGTCTACACCGTTGCCTTCCCGCCTCGACCATCGCCACCTACGAAGGACTGAACCCACCTCACTTGCTGTAGACACCGGGGCTGACGACCTTGGCACAGAGCTGGTCCACTGGAGAGCTGTGCGCTGCCAAATGGAATCTCTGATCCCGCGCAAGCGTGGGGCCGACGGCGAGTTCCAACGATGTTTTTTTTTTTGAAACCCATTGGGAAAAGGGGAGGAGTCTCAACAAGCTGGCAGCTGTGGGATTCGATCAGGGTATTGCGGCGAATCCACAGGGCATTGCAGAACAACCGCACCTTCCAGCAGGATTTCCTGGGCCAGAGGCACTGGCTGGGAACCCGCTCCACGAGCGCCCTCACAGAGAAGATATGCGAAGCGCAGGCCTAAGAATCTGCTTTGGGAGGGTCACTCAGGACGTCACTGCAGCCGTCCCCCTTTGCGGAGTGGACATGAGAACAAGGGAAGCCTTCTACACTCTCACTTAAAAAGGAAACACGAAAGACCAGATGCGGTGGCTCACGCCGGTAAGCGCAGCACTTTGGGAGGCCGATGCCGGCGGATCACTTGAGGTTGGAAGTTTGAGACCAGCCTGGGCAGCATGGGGAAACCCTGTGTCTATGAAAAATACAAAAATTAGTGTATTTTTACAATAACCCGCTTGAACCCGGGAGGGGAAGGCTGCAGTGAGCCGAGATCGCGCCATTGCCATTCGCCTGGGTGACAGAGCGACACTCCAACTCAAAATAATAATAATAATAGTAATAAAAACAGACAACAAACTGTGAGCATTTATTGATTTTATGAATTAAAAAAAGCAGAGAAAAACCCTATACATCCATTCCATTCCTTTTTTTTTTTTTTTTTTTTCTGTGAAATGTGTTCCCGAGTAGACGTTAAGCTCTGACACCAGGACCTTCAGGTGTCTGGATAAAGAGCATTGTTTTCACAAAAGTACCCGTGATTACCCAGATCTTTTGCTTGACTTCAAAAACATCTAATCCTCCTGACAGAGTCTTCACAGAGAACTGTTTGTTTGTGGTGAGGTCCAACTTACCTTTTTTTTTTCTTTTCTGGTGTCAAGTCAAAGAATCCTTCACCCAGCTCTAGGTCTAGATTTTCTCCTATGTCTTTTTGAAGTTGTATAGTTTTAAATGTGACAGTCAAGCCCACCGTCTCCTTTGGGTTCATTTTTGTCTCAGCTGCGAAGCTTTGCTAAGGTTCATTAGTTTGGCCTATGGCTGCTCCAGCACTGTTTGTTGAAAACGCGATCCTTTCTCCGTTGGATTGCTTTTGCCCTTTTTTTTTTTTTTTTTTTTTTTTGAGACGGAGTCTCCCCGTGTCGCCCAGGCTGGCGTGAAGCGGTGCGATCTCAGCTCACTGGAAGCTCCGCCTCCCGGGTTCACGCCCTTCTCCTGCCTCAGCCTCCTGAGTAGCTGGGACTACAGACGCCGCCACCTCGCCCGGCTAGTCTTTTGTATTTTTAGTAGAGACGGAGTTTCCCCGTGTTAGCCGGGATGGTCTCGATCTCCTGACCTCGTGATTCGCCCGCCTCGGCCTCCCAAAGTTCTGAGATTACAGGCGTGAGCCACGGCGCCTGACTGGCCCAGGTTTTTAAATTTTTATCTTTCTTTCTTTTTTTTTTTTATGTTGAAAAGATATATATATATATATATTTAGAATTAGGCAGCTGGACTCAGTTTAGATGATCCCAATTTTGTTGGCAACATCCAAAGCGTCGTAATCAGGAGCCAGTCGAACATACGCCTTTTTCTCTCCATCAGGCCGAATCAGGGCGTTGACCTTGGCCACATCAATATCATAGAGCTTCCTCACAGCCTGTTTAATCTGGTGCTTGTTGGCTTTAACATCCACAATGAACACAAGTGTGTTGTTGTCTTCTATCTTCTTCATGGCAGACTCAGTGGTCAGCGGAAACTTGATGATAGCATGAGGGTCAAGCTTGTTTCTCCTGGGGGCGCTCTTCCGAGGATATTTGGGCTGCCTCCGGAGTCGCAGTGTCTTGGGCCGCCGGAAGGTGGGTGACGTGCGGATCTTTTTTTTTTTTTTTTTTTTTTTGTGGCTGTGGACACCTTTCAACACTGCCTTCTTGGCCTTTAAAGCCTTCGCTTTGGCTTCGGCTTTAGGAGGGGCAGGAGCTTCCTTCTTCGCTTTCGGCGCCATCTTGTGAAAAGGCTTTTATCTTTCTTTAAAGTGAGAGTGTAGAAGGCTTCCCATCACTCACGCCGACTCCCCAAAGAGAGCCGATGTGGGTGACTTTCTGAGTGACCCCCAAAGCAGATCCTAGGGCCTGTGCTTCGCGAGTCCTCTCTGCCCGGGCGCTGGTGGAACGTTTTCCCATCTGGGTCCTCTGGCCCAGCGAATCCTGCCGGAAGGCGGTGGTTCTGCCATGCCCTGCGGATTCGCCCCAATGCCTTGTTGGCTCGGGGACCCTAGCGATGTTGTATAAAGAAGGGAAATATGTAAGTACACCGCCGTGAGAAAGAGAGCTAAGGCCGAGTGGTCTAAGGCGCTAGTTTAAGGCTGCAGTGTCTTCGGATCCACTACCATCTTTTTGTGATTTCTCCATTTTGTCCTCCCATGGGTTACTACAACGTTGGAACTCGCTTTGGGCCCCACGCTTGCCCGGGATCTGGATTCCATTTGGCTGCGCGCAGCCGTCCAGTGGACGGGCTTTGTGCGAAGTTCGTTGGCGCTGCTGTCCAGAGAAAGTAAGGTGGGTTCAATTCTTCCCAGGTGCCAACAGTTGAGGTACCATCTGGGGTGCCTCAACCGTTGAGGAAAGGCAACGGTATAAATACCCTTGATGGCCTGTTCTCCGTAACCAGGTGGAGATAGTGGTGGGGTGCACCAGGCTAGTTATCTGTGTAATTAATTTGAAGTAGTGAAGTGAAAAATAGAAAGTGCTGTTTCCGCCCGGTCTCGAACCGGGGACCTTTCGCGTGTTAGGCGAATGTGATAACCACTACACTACGGAAACTTGCCTGGGTCTCCTGGCCCATCATAATGAGGCACCACAACGGGCCCTATTTGATTTCTCACGGTAATTCTGAGCTTCCTCCATGCGTCCCTTTGAGCCTGGCTAATGGGCATGAGCACACGAGAAAAGGGCATTTCAGCACTTGGAAGGCTGAGACGGATGGACGGCTGGAGCCCAGGAGGTCGAGGCTGCACTAAGCTATGTTTGCGCCACTGCACTCCAGCCTGGGAGACATAGCAAGACTGTCTCGAAAGAGAGAAAAGAAGGAAAAAGCGAGAGAGAGAGACAGGAAAAGGAAGTTTTCATGCCCGACGTGGTGGCATAAGTGGGCATGGGAGTCCTGAGAGAAGCTGTAGTGGCGACCTCAGAGAGACGCGAGGCAGTCGAGCTGTCTGGGGTTGACAGTGGGCGTGGGGTTGAAGAGCAGGGGCGCTGGCACCGTTTTCTAAGAGAAGAGACTTTCAGAAGAAGCTGCTTGGAGAATATGAGGCCATGAGTTCGTGAGTGGAGCTGGAGCTTGTGGGCCTGGAGAAATTGGAGTGGAATGAAAGAGGAAGTAGCCCACAACACCATTTTCGTTGTTCCATTGTTTGGTAGAGCTCTCGATTATCCAAGCAGCCACTGCGGTTGGATATTTAGGTTATTTTCCTCCCATCAACAATGTGCAAGCGTTGTGAGGCTCCCTCCGTGGCAGCATTTGGTACTTTTCACTTATTATGATGATTATTTTTTAACTTCTAGCCATTCTTCTGGGTACGTAGTATTTCCTCATGGTTTAAGTTTGCATTTAGCTGATGAGGAAAGATGATAAGCACTTTTTCATGTGTATGACTCATTTTTTTTAAATCTTCCATTGTGAGGTGTCTCTTAAATATCTTCCATTAAAGACAAAGAAACAAAAAATAAAGAACCAAAACTGGCCTGGCGTGGCGGCTCATACCTGCAATCCCAGCGCTTTGGGACGGCGAGGCTGGTGGGTCATTTGATCCGATGAGTTCAAGGCCAGTCTGGGCAACATATTGGGACACCATGTCTACAGAAACTCCCAAAATTAGCCACGAGTGGTGGCGCACACCTGTAGTTCCTGTAGCTACTCGGGAGGCTAAGGCGGGAGTATCGGTCGAGCCTGGGAGATTGAGGCTAGAGTAAGCAGAGATGTCACTGCTGCACTGCTGCCAAGACAACAGAGCAAGACCCTGTTCCAAACACACACACACACACATACACCCATCCCAAACACTCTCCTATGTTTTTTTCCTTTTAATCTGGAAACTTTTAAATTTTCCAGCTTGCATGTTTAAGTGTAAATTCTATTTCCTATTAATTTGTTTGTTGTAGTGTGAAGTTGGGATTAAGGTTAATTTCTTTCCCTTGTGGAGATTCAGTTGTTCCTGAACCAATTTTCCCAAAGACCTTATTTCTACATTGAAATGCTTTGGTACCTTTGGTGAAAATCCAATAACTGTATATGTGGACCCTAATATTTTTGTTCATTTTTCAGTTAAACATTTCAAATAGGCCAGGCATGGTGGCTCGCCCCTGTAATCCCAGGGCTTTGCTAGGCTGAGGCAGAAGGACTGCTTAAGGCCAGGAGTTGGACACAAGCCTGTGCAACACAGCAAGACCACATCTCTACAACAAACAAACCAAGTTAGCTGGGCATGGTAGTGCCTGCTTGTAGTCCCACCTAGTTGGGAGGCTGAGGTAGGAAGATTGCTTGGGCCCAGGAGTCCAAGGCAGCAGTGAACTGTAATCACTCCAGTGCACTGCTTCTTGAATGACAGAGTGAATCCCTGTCTCCAGATAAACAAACAAACAAATAAACAAATAAATAAATGTTTACATTGTGTGAATATTCCATTTTTCTATACATTTATCAATGGATGAACTTTTTTTTTTTTCACTACTTATTTTATTTTATTTTGAGATGGAGTCTTGCTCTGTCACCAGGCTGGAGTGCAGTGGCGCAATCTCGGCTCACTGCAATCTCTGCCTCCCGGGTTCAAACGATTCCCCTGCTTCAGCCTGCAGAGTAGCTGGGACTACAGGTGTGCGCCACTACACCCGACTCATTTTTTGTTTTCTTTGTAGACACGGAGTTTCAGCATGTTGGCCAGGATTTCTCTATCTCCTGACCTTGTGATTCGCCTGCCTCGGCCTCCCAAAGTGCTGGGATTACAGGCGTGGGCCACCGTGCCTAACCTATTTATTTATTTATTTTAAGACAGGTTCTCACTCTGTCACCCAGGCTGGAGAATAGTGGTGCTGTGACAGCTCACTGCAACCTCTGCCTCCTTGTTTCAAGTGATCCTCCCACGTCAGCCTCACAAGTAGCTGGGACCACAGGTGCCCACCACCAGATGTGGCTACTTTTTGTACTTTTTGTAGAGACAGGTTCACTATGTTGCCCAGGCTGGTCTAAAACTCTTGGCCTCCAGCAGCTCACCCACCTTGGCTTCCCAAAGTGCTGGGATTACAGGTGTGAGCCACGTTGCCCACCCTTCTTTCTACTTTTTTGCTGTGATGAATAATGATCCTATGAACATTTTGTGTACAATTTTTTACATGAACACGTGTTTTCAACTCTTTTTCATGTATACCTAGGAGTGGAATTGATGGATTGTATAGTAACCCTATGTTTAACTTTTTGGTATAGCAAAGTGAAACTTGAAACTAGCAGTTCCACTACTACTGTTTATTTATATGACATTTCCAGAAAAAGCAGATTAAAACAGGGAGAAAGCAGATCACTTCTGTCTAGGGCTGAGGCCGAGACCAGGGCTGGCTGCAGATGGGCATGCTGGGAATTTTTCTGGCAAAGGAACTGTCCTAAAAGAGGATTGTGGTGATGGTTGCAGAATCCTATGCAGTGAATAAAAATCATTGAGCTGTAGATTTACAATGAGTAGATTTTATTGCATTGAATTGCACCCCAATAAAGCTGTTATAGAATGCTAAACCAAAAAAACAAACCCCCAAACACAGCAACAGGCAGTTCGTGTTTCCCAGGGATCAGCTCAGGTGACAGTTGCATTGTGCAAAATGATTCCTGTGACCCAGAGTGTAATTAATGTTTACATAATGCTTTACTGCAGCCTTGGAGGGCAGGTAACTTGCACCTTGAAACTTGAAGTTCTTGCTAGTGTTGCTTGTAATCAAGGTAAAGTCGTTGTATAAATAATCAAGATGTGAGTAAATTTAAGGAGATGTCAAGTAAATGAAGGAGGTGAGCGACCACCGCGAGACTGAAGCTGGGAGGGGCGTGACGGAAGTCATCCAATCCAAAACTGCTGGAATAGAGACCTTGCCAATGGATGGGTTTAAAAAACGAAAAATGCATGTTACAGACACGAAACAAGCATCTGTTATAGGATCCAGTTTATGGTCAACACGGGGACGTCCACCCAATACTGTGCGTCTACAGGAGGCGCTAATGTGTGCTGCTGTGTTTGGGGTGTGATGTGCAAAGTACTGGTCCTTGAGGAGATGGGGGCACTGGTTTTTATTTTCCACAGTTGTCTCTTTGAATCTAGAAGACAAAAGCTTCTGTTGAGGACTGCAGGAGGGTCGTGGTGTTGAATGTGCTGGCCCTCTGCAGGGGCCACTTGTGTGTGTGCTGGTGGGGGTGGGGGGATGGTGAGCTCCTTTGCTGGCTGTCAGGGTGCGAGTTACACAACCCCTGGAGGTGGCAGTTCCTCATCTGTAGAATGGGGTGAGAGCAGCGCCTTTCTAACAGGTGGATGACAAGGGTTAGAGCAATTAACACACGCACTAGCACTAGGTAATACTGAAGAAAAACTCACTGGATCTACAGCTGTGCCAAGGCAGCTCAGTTCCAGGGCCAGGGGACATAGCACGGGGGACACAAAACGGAAGGATCCTGCTCCCCAGAGGGGAAGGGTGGGGGTGAGGAGCAAGGGAAGACCGAGGCCTCACTGGCGGACAACTGTGGACGGCACTGCGCGATGGAGAGGGGCCTCCGCCCAGGGAGATGTGGAAGAGGCGGCGCGAGGGCGCACGGAGCTGCAAGGGAAAGGCGGGTGCGGGGGCTGCAGGGGCCGAGCAGGAGGCTGGGCGAGGACTGTGCGTCCTCCCTGCAGCCGCATGAAGGAGACAAGCCTTGAGAGGTTGCCCGTTTGCCTCGACTTCTGGTTTGTGTTCGGGAAGAGCCCGCGTTCAGCCCCATCTCAGCGGCTCCCGGGAGGGAGCGCCGG